ATCTGCCGTTAAACGTGTAACGATTACATGCGCTTCAGGTACAGGTGCGAGGAGAAATTCCTGTACATTTTCACACGGAGACCTCAAGTTAATACCTGAAATTACGTATTTCTGCGAATTCTTCTCAAGAAATTTTGAATTACGATTATATTAATATTTATTTATTTAACATTAACGTTGATTATAATGGTAGTATTAATAATTGTAAATGATAGCATATTAATATATGTATAATTCCATTAAATCAGAATAATTATACTTGGTATTGAAAAACTAAAAAAACTCGTAAGAAAATAAGCAAACGTATTTAATCAAATGTAATAAACTAAAAAGTAAATTTTGTCTGTTAATGCCAGATAGTTAATTTCAGTACATATTATTTAAGGAAATAAGTAACATAAATCAAAGAGCCTTAAGTTTTATTAACTTAGTAATATATTTGTTACTAAGCACAAATGTATACGTATATTTGATACGTAATCTCTGTATGTGTGTGAGTATATTTAAAAATTGCTGAAATGTAAAATGCTACAACATTCAATATTGTGAATATAACTTTTATAATAGAAGTTTATGGTTTAACAATAAAACGTGTTAAGAAGCTAGGAAAAGAATTAAATTTTTTAAGAGACACAAACTGAGTAATATTCTTCATTGATTCATATATTTTAATGATGCGATATAAAGTCGCGTAAAAATCACATGAGAATTTACTTCTACCATTATAGAATAAATATTAATGACTGGCTAATATGATAAGAGATACGAGACAATATTTGATGATAAATTAAGGACAGATCATTAATTTCTTTATTAACGTAATAGAGATTAAATCGCATTTTATTTACAATCATTAGCATATTTTCCATCTTGCAATATAGATATTTTGTTTTATCCATTTTTGCAAAATGAAGATGAATGATTTTTACTGTGGTATTATGTGCATAACGTGTGGAATATTATGCGTTGATAATAAAAAATTGATATTATTTTCCGTGTTTATATATACTTACTACATTTACTGTACACAACTACAAACTTTCTTTTTTCTTTGAGAAATCAACATTTTCAGAGACGGTACTGAGTTCTTCGATTACCGATAGAGATGGGAAGCTGGAGAAACTTCGCCAAAATCCTTGAACCGGCATTCCGAATTTCCGGAATGTTGCAGGCGTGGAAGTTACGGGTTCAGTGGAAGAAAAATTACGTACACGGCTCTTGCATCAGGCAATAATAAGGGTGTGATGCGCTCTGATTCTCTGAAGAAAAAAAAAGGTCTTCTCATAATCCACGTTGATCCTGTGAAAAATGCAGTTAGTTTTTAAGGATTATTTGCTTGTATATTATTATTGTACAGAGAAACAGATATATATGTATTATACATAATTCTTATAGATATCAAAATTAACGTAAAATCTTAATACATTTAAATTCTCCAGAATCGATACGTTTACGTGAAGATGGAGAACAACAATCCCTTCATTATGCAAATATTCATTTTAAAAAAGCAACTGTGTGTTGTATTGTAATAAACTCCACTGTTAATACGTCTTTTGTTATTATAAAAGATATGTTTAATTTATCGCGTATGTTTAAAGTTGTTTTACACAATGTCTTTGATAAATATTTTGAACTCATTTTTCTTTTACAAAAATATTAACGATTGATTGACCGTGTATTGCGTGACATGAATTTTGTGCATGCGTGCACGCATGTTTCCCAAACTTTCATTTCTATCCCCTTTTCTAAAATAATTTAATTTATAAATATATTTCGAATCATAGTATCGTAGAACATTTTGCGTAAGTCCTTAAATTAATTAATCAGCTTTAATTGATGCTCGTTCAAACCACGATTATCCGCTGAATATCGATTATATCGATGTAGCGCAAGCCTCCCTTTAGCTTTTGTAATCAATGCGGCGTTACACTGCATGTCCCGCATCCTCGATGTACTGCTAAGGGCCGATGGTACTGACGTGGTTTAGCACTAACCCAGTTCAACTAAATTTTCTTTCTCTGTCGATGTTATAGAAAGCACCATAATCCAGAAAGGGACAACGAGTCGCTAACTCCGAGTTAGATAACCCATACTGTCAGCGTAACCGCGCCTAACAGTGTCTTTTAAGGTATTATGCGCAGTTGATCGTATTAAGGGATGTTATGCGGGGCATAGCGTCCACTTACGGTCCATGAAGAGGTTTTAACGCAAAATGGCTCTGTATTCTATTGCTCTGTTGGAGAAAACAGTTCGGCTTATAACAGGGACTTTATGGGGATAATTTAATTCTACTCTAACAATGTATTTTTCGCCTGTTGTTTCGCAATTATATACTGCGAGCACAAATATTAAACGACAGTATATATCTATGCAAATTTTACAAGTTAGTGGTAAAGATATAACACTACAAAAATGCGGCTGAAATAATTCAAATGCGGGAATAATGAACTTTCCTTTCTTTGTTTGTAAACAAATATAATATATTTTTAACTGTATATAGTGGAAATTAAACGCTTCAAATATTTTTGCTGATTTGTTAATGAAAAAATCAAATCCGTGATCCATTTACTGTTGTTATAAATGTTTTTATTATTTTATGCTCTACGTTTATGTCTGAAAAGATAATTAATTGCCATACATTTATAAATTACCCTTACGTCCAAGTGAACTTTGATAACAGTTTTTACATAGCAAATTGTTTTACAATTGCATGACTCCATAAAAAATGTAATAGGGGGTCGAGTGCAGGCAAGATGGAGAAATCGAGAAATCGTATACGAGTATGTTCGTAAGTAAGTGATTGGCCTGCGGGAAAAATGGGGAAAAGAAGGTAGCACGAGGAACTATTTCCCTATAGATCGCGAATACCCCGAAAGGCATTTGCACAGGTGAAAATTAAATTAAGACGCACCGAGATCCGAGTGCTGGAATTCTTTCTCGCTACTTCTCTTTTTCTCTCTTTTTCCTTTCCTCTTATGATAACGTCAGAAAATATTGTTATTCCGTGAAACGGATCGAGCCAAACCAGTGAAAAATATTGTAGCGAGGTCGTAAAAAGTATCTGCTGGCACATTTGCTCGCAACGATAAAACATTGACTGTTCTCGAAGGAATTTTATATACCAAACGTATAATTTAAACTAAACATATTATTAACAATTCACTTAATAAGGTTTTGCAGATGTTTAATTTCTGTACAATCTGTATAACATTCTGTAGGTACAATCAATACTTGTTGAAGAAGAATGTGACCATTAGAAAACGCAAATATTTTCTTCCAGTCCTTATCCACTTTTTAAATTTTATTGCACAAGCAAAGATATTTATATCCTGCGCACAGTACTATCTTTCGAATCGAACGTGTTTTTTAAAAAATACAAATATACATAAAATATACATGTACATGTTTTATTTAGAAAATCTGGAAAAGCAGCGTTTTGTCAGAAAGAAATGCACAAATATAGAATTTATTCTTGCTATTTTCCTTGCTCTTACTCACTGCCCGATTGCAATTTCTTTGAGTTGTTTTGCTGAAAGTAGTAAAAAAAAATATGTCATTGGAAAAATTTATTAATTATTTCATTAACAGCAAGTTCAATGAGATAACGAGGCAACGGTTGAATGGCAACGTAAATTGGCAGTGCACGAAACAAGAAGGCAAATTCCCCAATGTCGGAGTGTCGACATTTGTCGCGCGCATCGAATTCCCGCGTCGCCCTTTGAACGTGTCTCTATGACATATTAAAATGGATAAAAAGCGATGAAAATAGATATGATGGGTAGATGCATATCTAAGTTCTTGTTTCTCTCGAGAGACTTTTCAAATAACCGTTCTCTTTCCTTTTTTTCCTCTTTCTGTTATTTTTCCACTGTGCCGAATCGTTTGACGACACTAGTGTTATGGTTCCTCGATCGTTAAAAAACGTAACGTATCCTGGATACAGACGCGATATGCCTACGAGATTTTTATTGTGCTCGATATCGCGGTGACCAAACCGACTATTACGACACAGTTAAACACAGATCGAGCGAAAATGCGATCTGGAACGTTTTGCAAAAAAAAATCCGTGTATTATATATGCCACAGTGCAACTTAAAATAAAATAACAATTCCGAGTAGGATAATTATTTAAAGTGATTTTTTAGGCGTTACCTATAGCCAAATAAATGTATATGCGTAAGTAAATCTCAATTTGTATTTATGTAAATTATCTCTGTGAGTAAGTAAAATATTGTGAAGCAACTCTTATCGATTCTAACAATAGGAGGACGATTTAATAAACTGATTTAATAAACTGATTAGCCCGTCTTAAACGCGGTTGGTAATATTACGATTCTATTGTATCCGTCACATTTCAACTGCAACCGCGTGTAATCAATGCGGCAAATTTCTCGAATAATTCGCTAATATTTCGAATAATTCGTGTCGGCCGACGCGAATGCGAAATCAATAATTGCTTTAATCGCGGCAGCGAACGGAATGCAATACCCCGCCGTTGCCCGTATTCCGTGTGGAAGAGCATTTTTAAAGGGAAACAAGCACTATCGGGATCTAACTCAAATGAACGGATTTGCAAGTTTAAATAGCCTCCGGGACAGTTTAAAGCGCTTTAGGAATTAAAATCTGTCCGTAAAGTGGCTTTAAAATTCTAAGTCCGTATTTTCGAAGCTGTTCAGATCTCACTTAATGTAACGCATTTTATATTGTCCGAACAACTTCGCTTATTTGTATTATGCATCGCGATATCCTGCATAAATTCACGCGTGATATTCACTCCGACGTATTTATTTGCGTTTGTAATTTTGTAAAATAAATTGTTTTAATTGTACCGCGTATAAAAAAGTAAACAGCTCCGCTCGGTTATCATGAATATTTGGTTCAATGTTTGTGTGACTAAAATACTTGTGCATAATAAAATTGTCGGCCGCGCATATATTTGAATTGTAACCGTATTTTTTAGTGTTAACGAATATATTATAATAAATATATTAAGATGTTGTTGGTAATGTTTTTGTTCACCAGTAATTAAATCAATAATCAATCCATTGTTTCGACATAACTGGCTATATTTAATTTGTTACAATAACAACGTTTCGACTGCCGATCGCAGTCCTCTTCAGGACCATACCATTTTTACTATCCCGAAAAAACTAAACGGCATTATCAAAACAGGGAAAGATCCTCTCGACAAATTAAACAAAAAAGAGTTAATATACAAAATTGAATGTAGGGACTGTGACGCTTGTTATGTAGGACAAACGAAACGACACCTAAAAACACGTATAAAAGAACATGAAGCCAATATCAGGAGAGAACATAGTACACACTCAGTGGTCAGCAATCATCGTGAAACTTTAAATCATGATTTTAAATGGTCGAATACTAGAATATTACATACAGAAAAACACACAAGGAAACGAGAAATCGCTGAAATGATCTTCATAAAGAAAGAAAACAATTCTATCAATTTACAGAACGACACAGACAACCTTTCTAAGATATACGATAAGATAATACGAATTTTATAAACATTAACGTCCGTTCTTGCTCTCCTCCTTGTCATTATTATCTGAACTACTGAGGTGTGCGCAGTGATCTGCTTGATATTCCCAGATGTACGGACATATGGATCCTACTTATTGCTCGAATTCAAAGAACCGAACTAACTAATTGACGAACATTACGTGTGAGTTATAATGACAATTCAATATATATTCTAAAAGCTAGGTTCTAGTCGCCACGCCAAATCAATAGATTCATAAACTTTGCATTCGCTTTACAAAGACATCAAACTCGTATCGAAAAAACTAAATTGTAATTTATATTGTTATAGATAATACTTATTGCTACCACAATAATGTATACCGTAAATACATGTCTCGTAAATTAACCTGAAGAGGACTGCGATCGGCAGTCGAAACGTTGTTATTGTAACAAATTAAATATAGCCAGTTATGTCGAAACAATGGATTGATTATTAAATATATTAAGAATTGATTTTAAAGCTTTTCCGAATTGATGGTGAAAGATTTCAGGCAATTAAAATGACGGCGAATTTATCACCGCACGTGGATCGATTTCTCATCATCATTCCGTCTTTTCTCAGTATTTTATCCATCTGGATCGTCCCCATGGTTCAAATGAGACAACCAAGAGACAAGACGAATTTTAGCCGCGCTTTCGGAGCAAGCTTGCGACGGGGACAAATCGTGAAGTCTGCTTCTATGTAACAGTGCAGATCTTAACGCCGAAAAAGGCGAAATGTCAAGTTCCATGATAGTTTTGTTTAAAAGAAAACTAGTATACGTATACAGTAAGATTATTTTCTGTCGCTATTACATAAAGTTTTCATACATTTTTCACAATACGATATTTTATCCCGACTCTGGAATGTGTTCTTCCAGTTAATCTTTTCAGAACGTCAAACCGTTGTTTTATTTTTAGTCACTTGACAGTTATCTAATAAAATAATGTACACCTCGATGATTTATAATATAGTTCATCCGAGTAATTTCTTCCACAAACTGGATCATCTATCTCTTATTTATCCTTATATGAAAAACTTTGCTATCGCAAATATATAGACGTAAAGATTATTTTTATATGTCTGCAATATTTCGGAATTTTAACTGATCAAAACGATGTTGCTTTCCGTCTCTGATTCCAGTGGCGTTAAAGAGATTAGGCAAAGATTTCATACTCGGTGGGAACGGATTGTCGTGGAGCCCAAAGAACGATCAATTCTTCTTGATGCGACGCGACCAGAACTTATGAAAACTCGTTAATTCCTCGCGCATTTCACTCCGTCGACATTTCGTTTCCGCCCGGCGAGATTCTCCTCCCGGCGGAATCTTCTCTGTTACTTTTCTTTCTATCTCCGTGAGAAAATGAGCGATGTCCATTCGAGAGTTGCGCGGCCGAAAGCGCCTAGTTTTCCTTTGACCTGCGAGTCGAACGGCGATCGTAACTCGGCAGTCCTCTCAGACGCAGGATATTAAAAGGCAGATTAAGATCTTCGACTTCCGGTTCCGCCATCCATCGAATAATCGTCGCTGTCGTACAGCCAGATCTTTTAATGCACCGGAACATCTGCTTTGAACGGAAGCTGTCATGCTGCAAGATGGATGTAACACGTTGAGGCGTTTATGTCCAATTTCGTGAAGTTTATTAATGCTGGCAGAGTTGACTTCATATATAAAGTCTCTATTTTATGGACAGCTACTATCATTTTTTAATTCCTTAGTTTACTTACTTTTTAATTTTAACAATATTTTCTTCGTATTCTTAACAAATTTATTGATCGAACGTGACCTATAACCAGCTTAATCCAGTAAAAATGCTTACTTTGGCCCATATTAATAATCGGTAGTAAAAACTTATAATTTCGAGACAACAATAAAAATAATTAAAAATAAATAGATTTCTGCCGCCTATGCTAAAATTTACATTCAATATTTCTTGACTTAAAATTTTTAAATACGTCTATAAAATATATATATATTTTCTTTTATTATTTAAACTCTAGATTTTAATCCAATTTACGCATTATTCTTATTTCATTAAAACAACAAATTATAATACATTATTTGCAAAAAAATGCCGCTATCCGGTGGCAGAATATCAGTCTGAAAAATCAGTCTTTCTGTAACAGTAAAAGTTTAATTTTAAAAGTTTATTTTGTAAATACAATATTAAAAGCTTCGATTTCGCTCGTCGTATGGATATACGGGTAGGAGAAAGCTGCGGTTGAATTTACGGTAAATCGTAATGAAGTACATCAACGCGACGCTTTCAGCATGCGATAATACTACAAACAAAAGCGACGAACGATAAAATGCAAATTTCGCGAGGACGCAGGACGCCGACGTCGCCGAACATAAATAATTTTAATCGCCGTTTTTATATGTCGGTGCGTTTTAGTGCGTATTTGGCGCACACGCGCTTTGCATATAGCGCCAAATTAAATCTCGGGGAGATATAAATATTTTCGACAGTTAATAAGCCCGCAATCCGCGCGCAGTTGCGCAAGCAGATTTACATAGCTTGCTGATCGCTTTCGATTCACACGCTCTCGCTACATGTGGATAATACTTCTGGCCTGTTATAACAGCAATCTGCTGCGTATTATTAATAATGTATTACACGCACGTTTAATTCTAATTTAGCAATGCCAACGTTATTCTTACAAGTAACTTAATTGGTCCTATTTTGCATCTCACTTAATATTGATTTTATTTTTTCATGATTTAAGAAGCATACGATATAATTTTAAATACGTAGCCCAGTCTTTCTACTAACCAGTTTTACAAACTTTAATTTAATGTGTACAGTTTTCATTCGTTCCGGCAAACATTAAAACACGCCGAAAACTTTTAATTGCTTTCTGAGAAGGAAAAGGTTCCGGCCATGCCAGCTGCCAGTAAACATAAGATAAAGTATTCTGTAATTAGGAGTTTTACGAGACTAGCAAATCGCTGGTGCTTACTAAGCAAAGATAAAGAATGTATAATAGGTTGCCTGATTCTAGTTAATTTGCGATGCGATAAATATTTTATTATACTCCTGAGAAAAATATGCCCCTAGTTAACAAACTGTTTATACGGCGACAATAAGTATTATTCAAATAATAAAGCGTAATTTATCAGCGCCGGAATAATTATGGAATCGTCAGCGCATTCAAAAACTTCCAGGAAAAGGAAGTGAAGTTTGTACAAATTTGAAACTCCAGCCAAGTTTTGAATACTCAAACTAAACAACATTTGGCAGCTACCATTACGATATAAGATTTAACGCAAATTTTACAAAAGTACCTAACAGTCTTAATGAAATATGCTTCAACGTGTCTGCGAATAAATAACAATATACAATCAGAAAAAAGTTTCTTTGAACCTTTACATCACTATGACTTTTCATTTTATTTCAAAGAAATAATTTTTGACCCCAACCAACATTTTATTTGATTAAGACTGAAATTTCTAAGAAAGTTGATATCTGTTTCTTTAAATCTAGCATTTGCTTAACCTAAATAAATCTTTTAACCCTGGGTGTGTAAGCGAACAAATGTATACGTATATGTAGGTGGAAGAAAACAAATAATAATAAATGACTTTGAAAATATTTATTTGCGATTTCTTGCGGTAAAAGTTTCTTTTGAAATAACAAGTCGGACGGAGAGCGCGACGAGGTCAAGTTAAAAAAAAAAAGTTGGTGAGGACTCTGTCCCTTTTATGGCGGCATTAGAGGAAAAATCAACGGCTATGTTGGCACGTCTGGCCTTCTTCGCGGCGATTTGTTTCACTTTGCGGGCGGGCTTCCACTCTCGTTCTACTTCCGACTCTCTTTCGGTCTCCGTTTAATCTTCTCGAGTCAAGTCGGATCCTACCATTAGTTCGCGTAGTCCATGTACTTTTCTTTCGGATCCACGTTTCGCTGGCGACCCGATACCAAGTTTCGAGAGGCCGAAGGGATAAACGACCGACGAAGTTTCTAAAGGGTGGTGAAACTATTTTGTGTAACACCCAAGCTGTACTTATTGTTCTTTGTGAGCGGGGATAATCATGAGTGACTAAGAGAAATTAAAATATACGAATGAAAACAAATGCCTTAATGTGTGTCTATCAATAATGACGACGCGGTTAAAAGTCGACGGTGTGAATCTGGAGCGCGGTTGGACAAACCAAATTTTACAGTACGAATATTATTTTTATAATTGACATTATTGTCATTATCCTAAAATCGACAAGAGATTTTGGATTTTAATTATAAATTTGCAGGGCATGATTATTTCCGAAACTACAACGCGAATCTGCCAGATTTATAAGCACCTCGACGAGTTTTGCACGATGTTTGCGCGTGTATATTTACGCGATTCAACGTGATTGATCGCAAAAAAGGAGCGGAGTGTATACTCACACATGCACACGCGCATACACGTGTATGTACACACGTACCAATCCGGCGCGTAAACAATTCGAGTAAACAATTCTTGCGAGCCACGAGTAATTTTCGAAAGTGGAGTTCCTTCCTGTTCTCGCGTTGTATTTCCTTTGTGCAAACGTCGCCGGAGTACAACTTGCCGTGCAAACCGGACGATGAGTAAATTCCGTCTTAATGTCGCGACCCCCGCAATCGATTGGCCTGTAAGGTCGAGTCGAGTCCTGAAACTTCTTTTCGAGCTTACAAACTCACTTGTTAACATTGCAACATTTTAAGGCACACTAATAAAGTTATCGAATTAAATGCGATTGAACAAATGTTCTCGACCACACGTTCGCACAAATAAATTATGTAATTAATTTATAATAATTAGAAGGTATGGGAGATGTGGAATGAAAATAAAACTCGGTGACAAGTAAGTGACAAATAATAATATCGCGCGTTGGGAAATGAAACGACACGTCGAATATTGTCTCCCCTTTGTCCCTGCATAATACGCGAATTCAGAATTATCGAAATTACAATTGATTTCCATTTTAAAGCTATTTTAATCGATGCCTACATAATACAGAAATATTATTACATGTCGCAATAATGCTTCATTTATAGATTAATTACAGTGACATGTAAAAGTTTTTCGGTGGCCATTTCTATCAAGTGCGAACTTTCGTCATTGCCAGATTTTCCGTTTCGAAATAATGTATCGAGTACGGAAAAGCGAATCATTCGTTCCGTTGCATTTGTTCCAATCGTATGTTTGGTAGAAACAAGCAATGGAGTTTAGTTAGTACAAGTTTATAGAGCGTAAAGACTAACGAAAATGTCGTTGTCATTACATAATATATTACAATGCTAATTTTGTATCTTAAATTGCTTTTGATAAAAAATTATTAAAAATGTTACACAATAGAGAAAGACGATAACTGCATGCGTTTAGACAATTCATTAATCGATGTCGGAATTTAGAACGGAAATACGTAAGAATTTATTTTAATATTGTTTGTAGGAATGGAATTCTAGCGTTAACGTAATCGAAGGATTTACTAGATGCCGACTTTTATAAGAAATTTCGCCGCGTCTTTTTTAGCGAGAATATCAGCATGGAGGAAAGCCGAAGGGGAGAAAGTAAACTGAGATAGTTTTTTCCCGGCGATGTAAAGCCAGATAGAATAACATTTAAAATATCTGCGCAACGTTTTCCTGGAGCAGCGCACCGAAAACTTTAAACAAAGATTTATCTTCCGCAGTCAGCCAAGCTCGAAGCGAAAAAGGACTTGAAGAACGCAGTCGCGTAGAAGTTCCGGCGCGCGAGAGAGAGACTTCCCGTCCGCGCGGGAATTTCGTTTACTAACGTAATTTGCGGTTACCAGTGAAGAGGCCCGTGACTCTCGTTCGCGCTTATGTAGTGCGATCACGATCCGTTGCTGTTCGCAATGAGGAGGGGAACACAGTTGGATACATACCGGGAATGCATCTTAGCGCGACCGGTAGTTTCACGGTAGATTATGACTCTGGAAGCTATCCGACAGTTTATGTAAAGCAGCGCTCACGTAGGTCCTCATCCATGCACAACGCGTCAAGGCTGCAAACAAGTTCTGCAAGAACAACTTCTTTGCGATTATTGGGATATTTTACAGAGGCGACAATTAGCATCGGTTTGCAGTACATCGGATACTCGGTCTCGCTTTGTTTCAAATTAGGAAAAACCAACGAGTTTACTGGTTTCGATAATAGATATTTGTGACGAACCGCTGTCTTTATTGTTCTCGTAATGATTTTAAATAATTAAGCAGTTACTTTTTTTTTATATTGCCATTCTCCACAAAGAAACTACGACACCTGTGCGTAAGTGTTCGTCTTGTTTCATCGCAGAGCTACGTGATTCGCTCAAGACAATAAAAAAATTCTATTTTGCATTCATTTAATTTCAAAAGTAACATTTAATTAACATACAGCTATAATTTTATAGACTTTTTTTACAGAGAATTCTTGATGACAAGATGTTTCGATAAATTGTTATCGTAATTATCAATAAAAAATTTTATAAATCTATTTAACATATGATAATTCTATTTTTTTACTTCAAGATTTATACATAACTTTCTGTAACAGCAAAATAACATGCATCTCACTACCGTGCGAATGAAAAAGTTTTACATGAAATATTTCGGATGACACTCCTTCTCTGGAAGGGGATAGCTTTGAATATTTTATCTTATGCCAAATTCATCGGTCTTTAAACTTTTTTGGCAAAATGTTACCTTTAACACGTCATCCTCGTTTTCCCTACAACATGCGGCAGTATGTTACTTTTTACAGCTGTGGATCTTGCAACCTTACTATAACTCAATTCTGGAAACATCATAAACCAGGTAGAAATTACCCGCCCCGTAACCGTCACGATGTTCCGTGTTGAATAATACTATTTAACTTTCGCGATTTAGTAATCGGACGGAGATGCATTTATGAATATAAAACGTGCGCGTGTATCCTCCCACTTTCCCCAAGAGACAGGAAATTACATAGCTTTTTTTACGGCGAGCAAATTTTCGCAGATTTAAATCCTCATCATGTGGAAATTTATAAATGGCGAAATTCACAGTATTGCACAAGTGCATTAAGCAGTTATGTAATTTCTACGGGTACACTCAAGTTCTAAAAATGCAAAAAGAAACTATACATGCGTTAGACATGCTATCTAGGCTTAAAAATACGTTTATAAGTTATTAAGACTTTAAATATAGCTTTATTATGGAACTGTTTACTAAAATTATATATACGAGTGTTTGGAAGGCATATATAAAACATATATTTGAGGAATAATAAATATAAACGTAACATAAAAGTGTGTTATATTGATCTTGTCGCTGGCTACCGGAGCTAAACAATGTTGCTGTAGATCTGCACACTTTTGGAGATGGAATGGTAATGGAAAACAATACGTGAGAAATTATTTACTCCGATCTTAATTTCAATGGCTCATAAGATCTCTCAGTAAATTTATCCTCTTCGGTTTTCTTATACCTTTTGTGCTTTTCTCTCTTTCGTTTTTTTTTTCTTTTATCGCGGCCTTTCTGTCCCATTGGCTTTCTACCTCGCTCCGAAGAACGCTACCAAAGATTCTTTGATAACTTCCCTCGCTTTCTATACCTCCGTTGCATTTCGGAATTTATAAAGGAAATCGTATCTGCGGCGAAGATCGATAAAATAAACGTTGTTTGGGCTGTACCAACAGATTTCAATGCTCCGTAAAATATTGAGTGCAATTGTTTATCGTCTACCTTTTTATCGAAGATTAATACGAAGGCACCCATTGCGTATGAATTGCGAAACACTTAATCAAAGTTTATTTGTCTCCTGATTTTTCATTCGGACATTACAGCTGTAGAATCTATTCTTTAGACAATTTATAATTTCCATCAAATCTCAAGATGAAATTCAGCTTAGAAGTTTTCTATGTCATATATTTCACTTCAAATATTTTTCATGTAATACGACACCTTATATTTTAAAATAAAAATCACAGCTGTAATAAATACCTAATAAATTTTTTTCTTGATTTAAAAGAAAAATTATAACATTGAATAGTTTTTCAAAATGTACGTAGTAGTAGTATTATTTTGCTTGATCAACTAAGAGGTTTGAGATGAACACGGTTATCAGCAAGTGATTGCTGTGTGTGTGCGTGTGGTAAAAAATTAAGTTAATTTCCGTTATTTTACAATTTCAAATAATTGGAATATTCCCGAATCGTTCGTGATAATTCTATTATTGCCAAGAAGAATCGTGCCGTATTTCATAATAATCGACGAAGTATAAAAGACAGATAACACATAATACGTTTTTCCAGGAACGAGATTACGTGCACGGCCGTTGACAACGGTGGTCTCTGTCGCGTATGCTATTGTATAGAAATGCAATCAAGCCCATTTTATTCACTAGCCTGAAATGCGATTTACGATGTTTAACGGCGGGATATTGTCAATTAACGTATTATATGTACAAACTCAGCAAGTTTACTATTTTCTATAATATTGCATGTTATGGAAAGTGCGTTATCAGGTGTTTACCACGCGACTCTTCCCAGTCCTGTTTCATGATTTATCGTTCGACCGTGTGCCGAATGTAAATTACACGTGGACACATCCAGAATGGAATATCGACATTTTGCGGACCTTTATTGTATTTTCGCAAGACACGTCTCCTGATCTTGGTGATTTATATACAAGAGAAGAAATTATGTGAAACATATAGTGCATAAAATGTATTTCCCAACGGCACGTTTGCGCGCGAATAAGTTTTACATCGTAGACATCTTTGAAAGATGTTTCATTTGTTTCTGCACATTAGAAACAATTTTCGTAAATGTAATAACGTAATGTAATCCTCAACTAACTTTCTCTCTGCGTGAGAAAACGGGATAAAGCGTAATTAATAACTAAATTACCTATCATTTTAACTGAAATGTTATTCAACTCGCGATTAATTTATAGATCAGTTACCCCACAATCGTTTGAAATTAATTCCTTCATTAATTGTACCTATATGAACTCTGTATTTATTGTCAGATCACTTTTACTTGAAGACGTCGAGCATCTTTACTACGACTGGGAAAATTGTATTCACGTCACGTTGCTCGAAAATTGCGCATGTCAAACTTACGGATACCAAGCTGTCTAAATTATGAGTATCTAGATACGATACGTGCAGTCGGAAATGCTTATAACTCTAAGTTAAAAACGCTGAGACATTAATGAATCCTAGTGTACATAATAGCTGTCCGCTGCAAACAATGATCAATTCTTTTATTGCTATCACGAAATATTCAACGTTTCACAAAATATATACAAAACGCCCAATATTTCGTTCCTTGCAGTTTGCATTAATTTTGATGAATGAGATATCGCATATTAAATCTTTATTCAAAGAATAAAATATTCTATATGTTTAACGAAAATAAAAAAGTTATTTAATTGTTCTAGAGACTAGTATAACGGCAATTTAATCGGATTATTAATTGGTGATTGTCAGTTTTGCCAAAAAACATCGCGTCCTTTGGAATTCCATCGGCTTTCGGTTGTTCCTGCATATCGGTTTTCGATCGCGACTACGATTTGTGCTCTTCGCAGGAGGACGGAAAGTAATTTGGAGCAAACAATACTCGGCCTGCACCGGCCGTATAACAAATTGAATTTCGAATATTACGTCTATTTGCCTATCGCAATAAGCTTCCACTGTGATACGTGGCAATCATTTAGCGTTTGATGAGGATTGTGCGAGGGTTGAGATAAAAAGCGGATGTGCATTTTGAAATGCCGAAATGTTCGATTCCACGAGAACAATAATGCGATCCAATCATTGCGATGCAAAAATCCAGAGACGTTTATTGATTCAGATGGAAAATAAATATTTATTTATTTTCAATTTAAATTGTTAATTTTACCTCAGCCAGGGTTTGAACCTGAACCTCCCTGTTACTAAGTGGGCGTCTCAATAAAATATTTATGAATATTTAAGAAACATTTAAAAAATAATAAATATTTCTTTATGTGACATGTAAAATGTGGGATATATCAGTAGCGTACATTTTCATGTGTTTAGAGTCTCACCTCGCTTACTACTAAAAATAAAGATCTTTATAATTTATAGAGTGTTAATATACAATTCATTCGTTTATTTAATCAAACATTTTCTAACAATATATCTTAACTTAGGCACAATCTAATATAGAAGACTACAAAAATGCAGAATTACACGGTGCTTTTTCGCAAGACTGTTTCTTTGGTCAAACAGCTCGGAAATTGATCTACTAACAATCCAATGACGCCGATTGTACTAAACTGCATTTCCTCGGAAGAAATAATCATTCCCTCCAAGGAAATTCGCTAATTGTGCGATTGGTCAATTTACCGATTTTTCGCAACAATTTTAAGGCCGCTACGTAACATTGAAAGACTTTCGCGATAATGACTCCATTATGAAGCTAGTCGTAAAACTAGACAAGTGACTCGCCGAGAAAAACCGAGAGAAACGAAAATCTTAAGGTACTTAATTGATCTTTTAATGAGTGCAGCGTAAGCGAAACGTCGACGATTATTCAACAAGAATAATGGGACATAAAAAGAGTAAAGTATCGCATGATACAAAACGACCGAGTTTGGAAGGAGATAGTGTCCAACCTCGCGGGACTAATAATGATCGTAATGATGATAAACGTCTTGTTGACGATCGTTTCGGTGGCTGTTATGCACTTTGGCGTGAAATCCGTCCTTGCCCGCGCGGTACTTCACCGTTCTAATATTGCCGTCTGGTTCCTTCACGGTATACTCTCCGAACACATCCGTGCCTGCAAAACATCGTACGAGTTATTTGTCTTGCGTTGCCCCGCGCAAAGCTGGCACATTTGGGACATGCGTTATCGCTCTTTTTTTTACGGAGACGAATTGCGTTTTGGGCGAATGCGACGAAATATAAAACCAAGAGAGCACTCGCTCTTTTCAGAAATCCACAACTTCTTATGTCGTGTTGTTTATGTGATAATATGAGAGGGTTTAAATTGTTGCGACTAAGAAAGAAATATTGTAAATGACTTATAGAGCGCAAGAATGATCTCTGCTAATTGTTACGAGGTGCATATAAATTATATGATAGAAATACACATACATATATTCGGAGAATGTTTTATTACGTGAGCGCATTTTTAATTTTTCATTTTGTTAAAAAGTTACAGAAAAATTCGTTGAATAAGATAATAATCTCATATTTGTACGTTTCGCTTGTTAAATTCATTCACAAGCATCAGACAAATTCAAAATTAATTTAAATACAGAAATTAGAATCGTATTGTATGAGTAATTCCATTTATGTGTGATGTGATTCATGACTTATAATACATTTATTAAATCCAGATTCTATTAAACGTGAATTTTATGTAGTACAACCGACATTTAAATGTAGAAACATGCCCTCTCATCAAACATTAAATAAAGAAAATTATTTAAATGAAATTCATTTATCGCGTGTAATAATTGATTAACTGCAATTTCATTTAATGTTTTTACGTATGTCCGCGTTTAATCTCCTCGATTGTGGATTTCTGCTAAAGCCTCATCAAAATATAAATTTCTTATGATCTGTTAGATGATAGCGGGTGGCGTATTTTAATGCACGTTGTTAAATTTAGATCGCGCTCCCGCTTTAAAATATAACGCAAACGAGATTTGTAATTGGTCCTAGTTATTCTAATTAGTTTCGCGCTGGCGAATACCGCGTTCGCAGTTGCTCAGAGACTCTTCTATCAATAGCTGCTATCTAAGCTTTATATGGTTATAAACTTTTCAGCCGTCTGCCTTTGAAGGCGGGAATACTGAAGCGTGGTTTTTTAGCAGCACTTTTATCGTTCCTAACTTTTCTCTCGGCGCGTTGCTACGAAATCTCTCGCTCCAGTTAAAACTTGACGACGCTCGATGATCTCGTTTTATATAGAGAACGTCGTGCTTTGTGAAAATACCATTACAAAATTATGAAAAACTAGACGATTAAAAACGATATTTGCTTTGGTATTATGAAAATTGTCGTTTCTTTACGGGATACGCTTTTCTGAAGCAATTCATTTGAATTGCGACGGTTGCATATAACGAGGCAGACTGATTATAAAACGAAAATTGATATTATATTATACACATATAATCTTTATAAAGAATTATATTTTAAACGAATTAGAAAATTGAAAACTAACTCTTCCCGCGCACGAGCATGGTCTTTATTTTGAGTAGCTATTTGGGAGAAGCGACATAAGTTGTTCTACATAAAGCGCATGTGATATTGAAAGTAGGAAGAAATGGCGACAACGTGCGCGAGCGTACTGAAATACTTTTATCCTCTCGAAATCGTTTTTAACATTGCAATTGGCATTAATAAAGTATTCTTAGCACTGCCGATCGTTCGTCCGATGAACGATGAAGCGTAGGTAAGTTAAATCAAAGGAATTACCGTGCTGTGACTTTCCATTGCGTATTCCAAGAGCAACATTATAAAATTGCTCAAGCAAAGGTCACGTTGCCACTTTTATTCGCACAATCAGTCTGTCCTACGTTCACCTCGGTACATTTGTCAGCTTTTTCTCCCTCGGAGCTCGGCATCGCGATTCCGCGTACGTAAGTAGGTTATTCTTATTCTCCCCAGTTCGCGGTACGTACGAGATGACAAGAAGGATCCCCCTAAAGCAGAGGAGATTAATCTCCATTCAAACTACGCAAACCTACCGTCCCTCTGTTCCTTTTGACCGTGATAATCGCCCGTGTGGTGATCATCGACCCCGTACGAAAAGGCATAATGGGGTTGAGCGACGTAGTCTTCATGATGGTGGCCGTCGTCGTCGTCCCAAGTGATTTCGTGTTCGCTGCCCGTCACAGGACCGTGGAAATGTTGGAAAGAGTGTGCATGTCCTTCCGGCTTTGCATCGATCAGAAGCAAAGTCGAAAGCACCAATACGAACGGAACGAGCTGTCAAACAACATATCGATCCCGTTAATCAAATTATAACTTCGATGAATTCTACGCTAGGAATAATAAAATGTAGACTACGACATGCTGTAACGCAGAAAGATTAACAGAGCAGAAGGACAAAAAGAAAGCACGCAGTCAGGAAGAGACCACAGCAACTTATTGTTAGACAGAACTCTTAGGAAGAAAGACAGAGGCTGCAGGACAAAGATTTACTTGCGGAAATATAACGGGTTGCGGTATTGGCTGACAGAAGACAGGAAAGTCAGCGGATTATGTAGGATGGTCAAAAGGAAGCAACTAAGTGAAGAATCCACAACTTTAACAAAATAAGAGAATAAAAGTTCGATAAACTGTTAGAAGAAACGAAGTAAGGATAAGAAAAATTATAAACTCTTAAAAATTTGAAATTGAATTTTAATGAAAAAAAATTAAAAATATAACAAATATTTAAGAGATAATTTAGTAATACTTGAGATACGTGTCTAAAAATTTAATTAAAACGGCACTTTATAGATTAATCAGACGTTATTTTTGGAATACTTGCAATCGTCTACCATTTCATTATTTTACTTTGACAACGTATGTTCTTATTCATGTTTATTCGGAAACAATTTAAAAAGACGAACAAACTTTACGTGACAGTCGTTGCGTTTCGCAATGGTATTTTTCTATTAATATTTTCCCTTATAAATACACTTTCTTTATGTAATTATTGATTCTATATTGTATAGTTCCTTGCTTGAAGCTCGCTTCTCAAAGTTTCGCTTAGGAAAACTGAGACCGGCAATTCGCCAAGAAATTTTTAAATTAACAAAGGCGTGAAAAAATTTCTCATGGCGTTTTATACGATATATAATGAGAGAATGGAACAATAGATCTGCCGGGTCTTGACCGCAAGAATCAATCAAGTCGCGAACGTTTCTGGCTTTCTATTGTACGACGATCGAAATACGCTGACACATGCGGCTTTAATGACTTTCTGCGAAGAAGTGCTAAAGTTGGCGAGCGGGTCTGAGGGTGACACGTGAGATAATCGCGCGATATGCACTCACTTCGGAAGTCATGATGCCAATTACTGTCCCAGATCGTGTCCCCCTTCGCGCGTACCGCCTGATTGATCCGTGCGATTCGCGATCGTCCGAAAAACTGCGCGATTCGCCTGGTTCCATTGTCCCTTTTATAGAGATCCGCATTTCAAGTTCCCTCTTTGCTTAATTCTTCTTTGGATCCGTGCCCGAGAGTTCGGCTAAGCGCTCCCGCGGACGTTGCAAAACACAATTATTCAACCGGTCCGGCCGGCGCAAAAAGCGCCGCGGTGCTCGCTCAAGCGCGCACCGGCCAATCCCGGACTAATGGAGCCCGCTCGTTGCGGAAGGAGAGCGAAAAAATGGATCGCCGGACTCGTTCGTTTCTTTCGCGCCGCGACACGCGCGTATCGATCAGGATGCCCGCGCGATCGATGACATCGAACGCCCGTCACGCGCGGCAACGTTCACGTCACGATGCTGGATTTTGTACCGGCGCACCGAAAAACAGCTCCCCACGGTCCATTTCTCTTAACGCGCGTCCCTCCTTACGCAAGTCCCCGTTTGATATACCCGCGAGGCCGAGTCGACGCAGGATGAGGGAACAGTAGAAACGATTAATCGCTCTGACATCATCGTATAATTGATACCAAACTACACCCTCAGAAAGGATTTCTGTTACTGAGACAACAAATATTCTTGACGCATTTATATTTCTCACAACCTCATTTAGCCAAAAAATAAGACAGTATCGAGAGAAAATCAATAATTCTTATTCTCCTCTAGCGAATTAAAAAAGATTGACTTCCTATATTGAGACAAGAGTAACGTATATAAACGTATAAGTTTATATATTCTTGCGTTTAGAATAAATTTTTTCCCCCATCTTACAATGCACAAAGTTGGCACCGCGATATTCAACAAAAGACGATACATACTGTCGTTTTGTTCTAGATTTTAGAATTTTAAGGT